TTTGACCATTGTGTGTTATTTTAGATTTGTGTGTAGAGTTCTGAGAGTATAAGGCATGCTTTCAGAAAATGTGTGTTAACAATCGAGAAAAACTGTAAATTGGCGGAGTATCCCTTTAAAACTGTCCCACAGAGTTTTCAAACCTTTAATGGTGGTAAGATGGTATAAAACATTCAAACTACAGCATGACATTGCTGACACTAAGACTGGTGGATAAAGTTATAGACAATACATTCAAGAAGAAGACATCAAGTAGACATTGTACCACTCACATATTTACAGATACATTTGATGGCAGTCGTTTGGGTTTGTTCACCATTAATAAACCAATTCATAGGCAGCTCACCGTAGGGACGTGTAGGTCCATAGTTCCCACGACCTGGTGGGAAACCAAACCCTGTCGCGTCCCCTTGATGCCACCCAGTCTGTCCAGTGTGGTCCCAGCTGGGCTCCGAGGACGGGTCGCCCCAGCTCCACATGTTGGGGTGGAAGCTGCTGGAGCGGGGCAGTTGTTGGTGCTGGATAGAGTTTGGAGGAGGACAGCCGAAGTCCGGCGGAGGATAGTGTCCCGGTTCATTCATAGTACTCAGTCTTTGTCCACGTCGAGACTGCAGTCTATTTGAAGTTAATTTAGTTACTCACCACGCAGCTCTCACATGGGCATGTTTTTCCTCTAGTTTATACGCCTCCGCGTCACTTCCGGGAGAGCAGGAAGCGGATAAAACGTGTGAGCTGTTAGAAAGATAAATAATAAAACGAGAGCTATCATAAAATATCTATTTTTTTTTGTAAATTGCACCTGATATGTTAAAGTGGAACTTTGTGTTCTCACGTATTTTGTATTATTATTATTATTTTATGTTATATTTTAATGTTTGCAGCAACTTCTCGCGAGATTTAACGTAAAGTTCCTCCCGGGTTGCCAGGTTGCGGAGGGGAAACCCGTGTTGAATTTATTTTACACGATTATAGAAATGTGGAGGAAGTAAAATATGTTTTGATAAGCTTTAAAAATTATTATAAATATATAAAGTCTTTATATCGGCTTTAAATGACATAAACGAGCGGAACCCGTCTTTTTTTATTATTTATTTTTAATTTTTTAAATAAATATTACATAATTACGCAGCGTTAAAAACATCTCACCACATACACAAAACGGATACCATATTTTGCGTGTAAAAAAAAATAAAACACGTGGACAGTGTGCTTAAAACAAGCTAAAATATCACTTAAAATGAAAACCACGTCTGGTATCGGGCGATATCGACCGAGCAGACGTGGCAACCCCTCAGTTTCCTGGTGCTCCCTGCCGCCACATGTGCCTCAGACTGAGCAGCAGCAGCGTGGTGGTGGTGGTGAAACTTTACAGCCTCTCCTGTGGTAGAGAGAGGACGAACTCTGTGAAGTAACCAAAATGCTCGTTTTATTTGAGACCGCGGCTGGATACGCGATATTCAAAGTATGTATTCGGCTTTTCTTTTTGTGTGTTTCCTGCCTTTTGTTTTTAAGAATGAGCAATAATTACGCGTTACTTACTCGAGGTAGCTTAGCTGAGCCACACCGCTAGTTACCTTCAGCCCACGTTAGCTCAGTTATAATTAACGCAAATGACAGTAGAGTAAATTAAACACTAGTATTTTAATTTGTTTCCCACTTTATTCACCATTTCACCATTTGTGTTGAGTTTGTGTCTGTCTGTGCTAAGCTAACAGGCTACAGGCCTTGTAACCACGTGTGCATGTTGGGGCTCACTTAAATAAATGCAGATTTTTTTTTTTTTCACGACACAACATTCACGTTATATTGGGAAATAAGTAATCGACGATGCTGTTGTGTGATCGATCCTCAACCTGAATGCCACACGACGTCAAACACACATGCAGAGATATTTTACACGCAAAGTTTAGATTTTTAATGTGCACCATCAGGTTGTTTAATGCGTGACAACTAACTTTTAAGTTTCTGCTCTGTTTCAGGTCCTCGATGAATCCAAGCTGCAACAGGTCGACAGCCTGTATAAGGAGTTTGAAACTCCTGAGAAGGCGAATAAAGTGTAAGTGTTGATGCAGCTGGATCTGATGTTACAGATTCAACCAGCCTGTTCATGCAAAGTGGATTCAATGTGTGCTCACTGTTTTTGTTTTTCACCCCCCTGCCAGTGTGAAGCTGAAGCACTTTGAGAAGTTTCAGGACACAACAGAGGCCTTAGCAGGTAATGGCGCATGTCTTTGTGCACTGATGTACACCTGAGCTCTGTGGTCTGTGATGTGTTTCTGTGTCTGATTTAAAACATGAGGCATTTCACAGTATTCGTCACTACCCCTGAGACCACATCATGTCGTTTTAGCACGTAGTTTAGATAGAAAGAAAAGGTGGTTGGCCCTTCTTTTAACTTGGAATGGATAGAAAATGTACATTCAACCAGTATTGGACAGTTTGGCTGTTTTATTTCTCAGTTTATGTGACTGTTAAATGTGTTTAATGTCGTGTTTGTAACTTCTGCCACTCAGCTGCCACTGCAATGGTCGAGGGAAAAATTGGCAAGAGCTTGAAGAAAGCGCTGAAGAAAGTTGTTGCCAAGGAGGCTCACGAGCAGCTCGCCATCAGCGATGTGAAACTCGGTGGGGTTATTAAAGTAAGTGACCCAACATTTACATCGTTAGTATTCAGTAGCTAAGCGTTGTATGCAAGAGTTGCGTCTCTAACCGGCTCTGGTTTTCAGGAAAAGCTGGACCTGAGCTGTGTCCACAGCCCCGCTGTGGCTGAACTGATGAGATGCATCAGGAGCCAGATGGAGAGCCTCATCACTGGACTTCCTCCCAGGGAGATGAGTGCCATGTCTCTGGGGTTGGCTCACAGGTAGATGGCCCACAGCTGCAGTGTTTGTGTGAACGCGACTGCTGCCTATGATTACACTTGCTGTCTGAAACATCCCTGTAGATTTTCCTCAGCATTCGTCACTACCACTGAGGCAGCAGTCTCTCCCCGAGGCACAAATAGTTTTGTGCGAAGTAACTCGTGAATAACTTTTCTTTTTTCTGTCTTCCATAGTTTATCCCGCTACAAGCTGAAGTTCAGTCCGGACAAGGTGGACACTATGATTGTGCAGGCCATCTGTAAGTTGTATATTTTATGAGAAAAGCACTAAACGATATTTTCAGCTAGAATTATTACTAATGTATCACTACTGTATTTGAATATGCAGTATGACTGAGTGTGGGTTTTTTGTTTTTGTTGTCTCTTCAGCACTTCTGGATGACCTGGATAAGGAGCTTAACAACTACATTATGCGCTGCAGGGAGTGGTACGGCTGGCACTTTCCCGAGCTGGGAAAAATTGTCACCGACAACTTGGCCTACTGCAAAGCTGTCCGCAAAATTGGTTAGAATAATCTGCATTTTAAAGAAACACTCCAGCGATTTAGTATTTGTCTTCTGTGAAGCTATGAGGCTAGCAACAAATGCATTTTATTTTTTTAAAGGTCGAAGTTGATTAATCAGATGCTGCGATGTCCAAAAATACATCCCCCATCATGCTACTCATTAGTATATTTCATTAGACATCCCCTGCCTGACAAAGGCCTAAGTCTTAAACCGTTCATGCAAGCTTTCTCTTATAAATGTGCCCTTTTAAAACTCATTTACATAATGCTTCCTAGATCAGTTTTTACCACATGAGAGTTCCTGGGATGCTAAATGTGTATCTGTGGTTCTCCAGGTGATCGCACAAACGTGGCCGGCTCCGATCTGTCAGACCTCCTCCCCGAGGAAATCGAGTCAGAGGTTAAACTGGCTGCTGAGATCTCCATGGGAACAGAAGTGTCGGAACAGGACATCGAAAACATCAAACACCTGTGTGATCAGGTACGTCCCTTTTTTAAAGCAGAGAGCTCGAGTGACAGTGGTGATGATGACGACATTTGTCTTTATCCTGAAACAAATCATGTGGGTTTTTCAGTCACTACCTCATCTGAACAGTCACATTTCACGACTCCTGCCCCTTCCAGTGCGTTTAAGTCATTATTATTCTCCTGGCAGTTATAAAACCAACCTTCTGTTTTCCACAGGTGATTGATATTTCAGATTACCGCACGCAGCTGTACGACTACCTGAAGAACCGAATGATGGCCATCGCCCCCAACCTGACAGTCATGGTGGGCGAGCTGGTCGGCGCCCGTCTCATCTCACACGCAGGTACGTCTCAGAGATGGTGGGTGCGAGGAAACCAGCCAAGCGGTGATGATGACGACGTTATGTCATTTTCCTGAAAAAGACTGATGTTTTTAAGTCACTACCTCATCTGAGCTTGCGTTCGGAAGCCCAGTGTGCAGGTACAGTCGAGAGCATCGTATTTACATGTCTGTTTTTTTTTTTTGTGTGTGTTTTTAAGGCTCCCTTCTGAATCTGGCAAAGCATCCGGCTTCCACAGTTCAGATCCTCGGAGCAGAGAAGGCGCTGTTTAGAGCCCTGAAGACCCGCAAAGACACACCAAAGTACGGTCTCATCTACCACGCCTCCCTAGTGGGCCAGACTTCTGCCAAGAATAAGGGCAAGGTACATTGAGAAGGAGCGATAACTTGTATAGGTAGTGATCATCTGGCTGCTGGTTGGAAAATAAACATGGGTTCTGTTTTTGTTCTGTAATATCTGTCCAGATCTCCAGAATGCTGGCAGCTAAAGCATCCCTGGCTATTCGCTATGATGCCCTGGGAGAGGACACAAATGCAGAAATGGGAGCAGAGAACCGTGCCAAACTGGAATCCAGGCTGCGCCAGCTGGAGGAGAAAGGAGTAAGTACAGCTACAACAGAGATTTATCATGAGTGCCACTCTGAAATCTACTGAAATTCCAGGTCTTGTATGTATAAAGCCACTCTGAGTAAAATAGTGGGGTCTTAAAGTCAACGCTTGAGGGGAGGGTATTATAGGGATTAAATTCTAGTCCTTATTTCAACACTTTTTTACACAATCCCTGCAGGCAGTGGCAAGAACTGATTTACTCATCGTTGTATACATACTGGCCCAGATGGGTTAGCTCTGTGCTCTCTTTCTGCTGATCATCTGATCGTGTCTCCATTTTTCCCCCTTCTCAGATCCGTAGAATCAGTGGAACGGGCAAAGCAATGGCGAAGGCAGACAAATACCAGCACAAGAGGTAAAAAGTCACAAACTGCTCCCTCACTGAAGATAATAGATTCCTCACATGTAAATCTAAAATGTGTTAAATTCTCGCTTCTCCTCCACAGTGAAGTGAGAATGTACGATCCGTCTGGCGATTCTACCATTCCCTCCACTTCCAAGAAGAGGAAGTTTGAGGAGGTGGAGGAGGAGGAGGCCGCTGACCAGCCTGAAACGCCAGTCGTCCAAAAATCCAAAAAGCCCAAAAAGGAACCCGTAACAGCTGGTGGGTGTAATGATATCCAGGTGTAATTAAATAAGTCCACAATGTTGTTTATGATGCTAAAGGTGTTTTTTTGAATGCATGTTTTGTAGAAGAGGAAGAAGAAGTAACAGAGGAGACTCCCAAGAAAAAGAAGAAGAAAAAGAAGGACAAGAAAGCGGAGGCTGAAGCCGAGGAACCAAAAGAGGAGGAGGAAGAGGTAGCAGTAACAGAGGTAGGAACTTGATCTAAAGACGCTTCGTAAGAGCTTTAAGTTTCCCAGTGTGTTTCTGTTGAATATTTGTGCTCACTCT